TTTGGTGGTGATGGTTTGCATAGAGCCTTAGCCGCTGGTGAGTCTGCCCCGGCAGCCCCAGCAGAGGTTCCTGCGCCCGCTGTCCCAGGAGAGGACCCTCCTCTCCCAGCTCCCGCAGCACCCCCTCCACCTGATCCAGGGGAAGGTTCCGGTGCCGACGATGAGGGTGACGAGGATGCACCAACCAAGGCTCAGCGGCTAATCACTGAAGCCCAGAGTCTACAGCATCGCTTAACGCATATGCCAAAGAACCCCTACTGTGATGTCTGCAGTCGGAGTCGAATGCTAAAGAAGCGAACGGCGAGGACGCGCTATGCAAAGTGTGATGATGAGTTAGATCCGGTTGAAGAGCTCGGTCAACGGATAGCGGCTGATTTCATCATCGTGCACAAAGACGCTAAAAGCACTGAAACCGTCGTCCTGACTGTGAGGGATGAGGCCACAGGGTACATAAGAGCATTCCCGCTAGTGTCCAGGCACGAAGACGGGGTGGTACGATCATTGTTATCCTTTCTCGGTAGGCGCGCTTCTGGACCTTGTGTATTGTTCAAGAGCGACAATGCGCGAGAGCTCCTCGCCGCATGTGCGACGTTGGGGTTTACTTCAGAACCAAGCCTTGAGCGTAGATGGCCTCACAACTCAGTTCTCGAACGGGAGATCCGTACCATCGAGGAGTGTACAAGGGCTCTCCACATTGCGGCCGGTTTTCAGTTGCATTCGGGTCTTTGGGTTCATACTGTTCGCTATGCGGCACACACCATTAACCTTTTCCACCCTGCGGTTGGGATTGAGGGTTGTCGGTATGCGAACGCGACTGGATCCGAGTTTGGTGGCATGAAATTACAACTTGGTCAACTAGTCTATTACAGACTTGACCCGGCAAACCGTGAGAAGTTTCAGGCATCAGCAGCACCTGGTGTTTTCGCGGGTTGGCGGTTCGATAGCGGTCCATCATCATTCAGAGAAGTCTACTATGTCTTGGACTATGGTAAGCTAAAGAACCGTGAACCGGGGTACGAAAAGGCGATCTCCGTCCGAGAAGAGATCCACGTTCCCCGCGGTAATCCCATCCTCCCGATGTTCACCGCTGCAGAAGCTGCTTTGTCTAGTTTCACGAAAGCCGAGTATGAAGCCATCGAATTTCTTGATGTGCCGTTCAGTACGGTAGCGCCGTCAACACCCGTTGCCAAGCGCCACGAGTATATTACTTTAGACAGACTTATGCGACTAGGTGCAACACCTGGTTGTAAGGCCTGCAAGTTCGATGGAACAGTACACACGCCAGTATGTAAGGCAAGATTTGATGGTTTGATTAAAGCCGAGAAGATTGCCGCGAGCAAGTCAGTCAGAGACGCTGCACCGCCTGATGTTGAGCGCCCTGATCCTTCGGCGGAGTCTGCACCTGCAGCCCCCGAGGGTGATGAGGATGCTCCAGAGCGCGCGAGCTCCTCTGCTGGTCCACGGGCTCCAGCTGGTATTGTGGTTCAGTCTTCCGAAAGCAAAGTTTCAACAGGTGAGTTTGGTTTGAGTGCAAGGTTTCTCGCAAACGAGAGAGTGCGCAACAACACCAGGAGGGTTAAGGAACTTCCAGGGGAAAATGTTCTGATCGAGTATGGTTGTGAAGACGAGTCTGAGATAAGAAACGCTTGTGAACGTTGTAAGGTTCATTGTGTTAGTCTGTCCCAGTCAACGCTGGACTTGACTTCGCAGGATGACATGCAACAAGTTGTTTCCCAAGCAATCCCAGGTGTAGATGCTTGGTTCACCATACCATGCACACATATGTCTTCGCATCAAGCCGTACATCGTGAGTCCCAAAGTCCCAAGTACGCGCGAAAGATTGCACAAAGGCAAGCAGCATCCAAGCGAATGTTGGTTTTGGCCCTAAATGTTGCCGACCATATCATTGAGCAGGGGGGTCGGGTTTCGTTTCAGTGGAGTTCTGATTCAGGGGTGCTTGTGCAGCCTGAGTGGATCGATTTCGCTTCGAAACACGAGCTTTCCAGTGTAGCCTGTGTCAGCGGTAACAAAGCCACCACCGTTGCTTCAAACTCCAAGCGAGTACTGGAGCACTTCGCAAAGGTGCCAACAAAGGAGTCGTCAGGGATCAATGCAACCAACATCAAAGCGTGTGAGTTTGCAGATCTCGTAATACAATCCTTGTTTCCCCAGAGGTACTTCAAAAGTGTCCCCAATCTTGGTAAAGCTAGCGCGCTTATCACCAAGAATCTCTCTCGCCGAGAATGGCAAGCTGAGCCGAAGGCGCTTGAAGCCATCGCTCAAGAAGCAGAGGGATTGCGCCGAAACGGCACATGGGATGACACAACAGCCATGCCTTTGCATGAGTTGAGAAGTCAGGCCAGGTCTCAGGGACGCAAGCTTCGCGTCGCAGAGCTGATGACCTTGTGCGGGGTAAAGCATGCCGAACTTGCACCTGAATTTCAAAAGTTCAAAGGGAGAATTGTTTATAGAGGGGATAGGGTTTTGGATGAGTTCAACAATCTGGTTTTCTTCGAAGAGACCAGTACGACTCCAAGGGGGTTAATAGCCTTGAACGCCTCCCTCTTCTGGGGTTGCTTACCAGAGCACTCTGTGTCATGCTCTGACGCAATCCAAGCATACCTCCAATCAGAGCTTAAAGAAGAGACATACGTAATCCTGCCAAGGGAGTTATGGCTCCCCGGCTGGGAGGAGCGTTTTGGAGCGCAAGCGAGAATAGTCGTTCGACTCCGCAAGAGCTTGTACGGCCACCCACAGGCCGGACGGCTCTGGCAAGAGTATTTGTCTAGGATTTTGATCTCATTAGGCGGAAAGGAGTCCCAGGAGTTTCCAAGCAACTGGTTCTTTGAGTACAAGGATGGGGTTCTCATCTTAAACATTTACGTCGACGATTTGAGTTTGTGCGGATTAACAAAATTGCACACGCCATTTTGGCAAGCGTTGAGGGCGAAAGTCAAACTTGATCCCGAGTGTTTCATAGGTTCTGAGGGTGTTCGGATCTTAGGTAGACTGCATTGTCGGTACGATGAACCATCGTCGACCACAATGGCTTTTAGGATGCCTGAGTATGCTGAGCAGATCGTCCAAACCTATTGCGAGATCACCGGGACAACACCCGACAAGCTTCGTCGAGTGACCACGCCCTGCATCGCTGAATCGTCAATGACTGACGAGGATATCTCAGCGCAAGGCGAGCTCCACGATACAGCATCACGCATCCTAATGCGCTGTTTGTGGTTAGCTCGTCTCTGTAGAGCTGACATCGCATTCGCGGTAACTCGCCTAGCTTCCAGGGTCACTAGGTGGACTGCCTGGGAGGACAGACAAGTGCTGAGACTTGTGTCATATATCCGTCACACCAGAGATGTTTGCATGAATGCCAGTTGCTCTTGGGATGCCGCTCCCGAGCTGCGGGTGTATACAGATGCTGACTTCGCAGCCTGTCCCTACACCTCACGTAGCACGTCCGGGGTTGTGGTCCACATAGGCACAGGTCAACATGCATTCCCTGTGATGTGGCAAAGTCGCAAGCAAACGTCTGTTGCGAGGTCGACGCCAGAGGCCGAAATGATTTCAATGGCATCAGCCATGTTTTCAGAGGTCATAAATTTGCAGGCGTTCTTACAGTCAGCCTTCAAAAGCACAGTGCCAATCATCTTCTTTCAAGACAATGAAACTGTCTTGGCCATCCTGAAGTCGGGATACAGTCCAAAGCTTCGCCACTTAGGGCGCGTGCACCGCGTGAACGTGGCAAGTATGGCAGAGATCTTTGAGCAAGAAGATTTTTCGGCTACTTACGTGAACAGCAAGGAGCAATTAGCTAATGGTTTGACTAAGATCATCCCTCCTGCTGAGTGGTCTGATATGCTCAAACAGTTGTGCCTTCACGAAGGTGTCCCTCATAATGCAACCGTCTCAAAGGTTGTAGTCGAGGAAGCAGAGCGTTTTGCAAGCTCACTGCCTAGGAAGATCACACAAGAAGACCTTGTGCAGCTGTTGTCATATTTGCCAGGGGAGAGCGCCGTGCGCCCCTCTGCAAATGAGGCAATGTGTTTCACCACCGGTGCGTTCGCGCACGGAGGTGGGATCGCAGGTTTAAGACAAAATGTAACCCTCTTCCCAGTAGTCACTGCGGTTTTGTGCAGGTTCATCCGTAGGGTGCTGCCTAAGCATAAGTTTACTGCGGTGATGTTGGCCAAGAATCAAATTACCTTGACTCATAAGGATTCTTACAACGAGCCATGCAGCAAGAACGCTGTAATCCCACTTGAAGTGTTCGAGGGGGGCCACGTGTGGGTTCAATCACAAGACGGTGGCTACCCATGCCCAGACCTCAGTCGAGGTGAGAAGGGCGAGATCCTTAAATGGCCAGCGATCTTCGATCCAAGACGGTTACATGCGACGACCCCCTGCACGAAAGGTGACAGAATCGTCGTAATCGCCTTCACTCCTAGAAACGTGAGCAGGCTGCCAGTCGACAGCCAGCTGAAGCTCAGAGAGCTTGGCTTCCACTTCTGATGAAGTGGTAGGTCCACCGAGCAGCTTGAACGACGCACACGAACGTATTTGGCTCAAGTAAAAGAAGTGCTGTGACGAGTGCTTGCTTTTGCTTGTTTTGTAACACGACGGGTTTACTTCGTGTTCAACTGGGAACCCCAAATCCTAAACCCCGAGTTTGGGCTTGCGGACCTTGGGCGAGGTTCAAATGCTGACAGAGAGACCATTCCCAGATCCGCCCGAATTCCGAGGGTTCCCATCAAAATAACGTACCATATACCCCAAGACCCTATTCTGATTGGTAAGGCATCTACATCCGCAGTAATAGCAAACCCCAAGCTCTATTCTTACGTCCATTTTTCAGTTATACTACAATGCACCCCCCCAAACCCAAGTCAGATTATCAAGGCCCCTAGATTAGCAGTTCTACTATAATATATCCCCAAAACCCTATTTCATGTATTTAGGCTCCTGCATTAGCCCAAATCCAAGACCTCGTGCAGGACTTCCGTTTGCGCGTGAGAGATGCTCCAGCAGTGGCCGCTAAGAAGGATTTAGGTTGGGTCAACCCTCCCCACATAAAGCTTAGGGTTCAGGGCATGCCTACAGGTATGGCTTAGAGGCGGGGTTGAGGCTTTGGGGTTTGGGGCTTCAGGGTTTTAGTGGTTCAGGGTAGGCTGAACCCTAAACCCCAAAACCCTAAAACCCTGTATGAGGCCTCGTAGGGCTTTGGGCTGATAGGGCTCAGGGTTCGATTCAGGATCACGCCTTCATTGTCAGATGCTTCGCTGTCAGCATTGTTATGGATACAGCTCGGTATGCCACATTCTTCACCCAAAGTTTGAGATCTCTGGATCGTTTATGCTGCTTTCGCAATGTGCACTAACCAATCAACCCTAAATCGTAAACCCCAACCTAAACCCCAAACCCTAAACTCTAAACTCTAAACCCTGAACCCTAAAATCCTAAACCCTGAAGCCCTGATCCCAAACTCTACCTTAAGGATCCAAGTGCCTAATAATCATATTCTCTCCCAAATGGGTACTATTATAATACAGCACCTATTATTTAGGGTACCAAAAAGGGACCCTAATTTTGACACTCTCCCAAATAGTAACCTACATAACTACTATCCTAAACCCAAGTACCTTCTTATTGGGTCCTTTGGACCCTTGGGGCTACATCCCCCGCTTGATATACGGCGATTTTGGGGTTCCATGCTGGATCGGAGGCTTTTACCCCCAGACCCGGAAAGGAATCCACACAAAACCCACCACCAGGAGTTCTAGACTCATAGGGTGGTTGTCAAAACCATGGTCCTTTTTTGGGGTACCCTAAATATGAGGTGAGGTACTATACTAAGGACCCCCAAAAGGGAGCATGATTTTGACAAACACCCTCATGAAGAACCAAGTTTAACTCCTAAGCCCAACATCCGAAATTCAATTCCAATCCTATGCTCAAAACCCAAAACTCGTCTAGAACTTTTTTTAGTCCTATGCGCAAAATCCCTATGTTGTAATCCTAAGCCCAAAACCCAAAAAGGCTCAACCCGGAGAGACTTCCTTAAGCGGAGACTGCCCAGGATTTTGATCTCTTTCTGCACTTGCTCCTTGGTGCTTGTTATCGGTGGTTCTGGGCTTAGGGTTTAAGGTGGATTTAGGGATTAGGGTTTAGGATGGGTTTAGGGGTTAGGGTTTAGGATGCGGGTTTAGGGTTTAAGGTGGAATTAGGGTTTAGGGTTCAGGATGGGTTTAGGGCTTAGAGTTTAGGATGGGTTTAGGGATTGGGGTTTAGGCAAGGGTTTAGTATATAGGACGAGTTTTGAGTTTAGGGTTTAGGAGTAATTCGGTTGTTCGGGCTCTTTTTTTCTTTAAGGCTCGTGTTTTGTGTGTTCAATGTGTTTGTTTTTTTCCGCTAGGGGGTTACTATAGTTTGTTTGTCAAACAGATTTTTGCAAATTTCGGATTGTTTTGGCAAGGGGAGAAGAGACTCACTGCAGCGATAAACCACGCAGGGTTTGGGCTTTCAGATTTAGGCTGCGGGTTTAAAGGGAACTCCAGAAAGTTGGAATATGGCATATGGTTTCAGGGTCGAATACCCTATAATTTACCATAAAGGGTTTAGGATAATCATATTCCAACTTTCTGGCTTTTACTTTAAGGTGTAGTCTTGGGCATTGAAGTTGCCAAAGCTTCTGCTGCTTTCGGGTCGCCTGTTCATAACTTACAACTACCCAGGAACCTTTAAGCTAAACCCTAAACCCCTAAACCCTAGGCGTCACTGTATGTAAAAAAACACCCTTAACCCTTAAACGCCCTAAACTCTACACCCTAAAGTAGATAGAACCGTTCTAGCCACAGTGGAACTCGCAAGCCCTAAACCCCGCACCCTAGAATCCGAAACCTACTTAAAAAGAAGAATCCTAAACCTTGAACCCTTATCCCCAAGAGCTTAAAGCCCTAAAGCCCTAAAGCCCCAAACCCCGAAGCCAAAACCGCTAAACCCTAAACCCCTAAACCCCTGAACCCCAAACCCCTAAACCCCTAAACCCTAAACCCCTCTAAACCCCTGAACCCCTGAACCCCAAAACCGCTAAGCCCTCAACCCTCAACGAGAGCTGCCTCCCTTGCCTTATTAAGTCCTTGGCCATGAACTCGGGGTAGAAGGAGCCTTTTTGGGTTTAGACCGGTTTAGGTTTAGGGTTTAGGGTTTTGGGTTTAAGGTTTAGGGTTTAGGGCGGTTTAGACTATAGGGTTTGGGGTTTGGGGGTTTAATTTTAGGAGTTTAGGGCTTAGGGCATTCCAGACACGATTAAACTATGAGATCATCTGAGATTTTTTCGGTTGCCTCTAGGCTTCCCCGTCCGAAACTCCGAAGCACTAACCACCCGAAACTCTAGCCCAAACCCTAAACACTAAGCCCTAAATCCGTGAATCCCCAACACGACCTCCAATGCTTGGGCTGGGGGGGGGGGTTGGGTCTAATTGAGGTATCTACAGATATACGGATATGCGGTTACTAATGCTGAATTTTGCGGAACCCGCTGATGATGCCCGATGATCGGAGGTGGTCCAGAGCAAGCCTCCTCCAGAGGGGCTGGCCATGACGACCTGGCATCATGCCTCTTCAGGAATACTCTGGCTTTGAACAGTGCTAGCAGCCACTCCAATCATGCAGATCGTCGACGTCGACGAGGACAAGAAGGAAAGCATGCAGAATATATATATATATATATATATATATATACTGCAGGTGGACCGATATCACTTGGCGCAAGCGTGAACCGCTGTCCTCTGGATTTTCGATGAGCGGTGAGAACGAGGTGGACGATCGCTCCGCCCAGGGGGCATCGGACATCCTTGACAGCGTCGAGCTGCAACTGCAGTAGGCAAGGGAAGCGGGTCTGCTGTGTACCGACTGGGCTGCCGGAGACGGGCCGAGGCAGATAGTGTGCCCATGCTGGGTTTAGGGTTTAGGGTTTAGGTGTTCTTTCAGAGGGTCGTGTCATGTAGAATCTTGAAGTCATGGTTTGCAGTGTAGGCAGAGGTATTTAGGGCTAAGCCCTAAACCCTGAGCCCTAAACCCTTTATAAACCAAAGCGCCCAGAAGTTCGAGCCAGGCTACAGCAGGGGGGAATTGTGGCCACGCTGTTCACGAACAGTTTGGTGGTAATGACGGCTGCTCGCTTCAATTCGGAGTTCAGGGTTTGGGGGCTGAGTTTAGGGTGTAGGAAGCCCTAAAACTTGGCCAATGGGGAGAACATCGTTAAACTTTGCGGCCTTGCATATGTGGTCTAGCTTAATTAAGAAGTCGCAATGTTTGGGGGGCCCAGTTATTGAAGAAGAGAGCAGTGGGCTTGATTGTTCGGGTTTGCAGTGCTTTACGGTTTTTCAGCATCTTGCTTGATATCTGAAGGGACCTCAAAATCGCAAACGGCACCTCAACAGATTTTGCAATCTTAAACCTTAAGCCGAACCCTAAACCCTAAACCCTAAACTCTAAACACCCTAAACCCTGACCCTGAACCCTAAACCCCCAACCTGAAAGCCCTGAAAGCCGGTTAAGTCAAGACCAAGCAGTCCGAATGCGGAAGCCTTCGGTGTGGGTTTAGCTCTTAGGGCCTTAGGGTTTAGGGTTCATGGTCTGGTTTTTGTGATTTAGGTTTCGGGATCTTTAGAAGTTTAAGGGTTGGGGGGTTGAGCTTTTCTTCAATGTAGCCTGAAACTGAGCTGCCCTAAACCCCTAAACCTAAGCCCGTGAACCCTAAAACCTACACCCCTAAACCCTAAAACCTAAACCCCTAAACCTTAAAACCTAAACCCCTAAACCCTAAAACCTAAAATTTAAACACCCTAAACTCCGAACCGAGTTCATCCTCCTCTTGGTGCGTCAGAGGCATCGAGGCAACCGGGTGTAAGTGCGGTTTAGGGTTTAGGGGATTTAGGGTTTAGGGTCTAGGGGTTTGGGGATTTAGGGTTTAGGGGATTTAGGGTTTAGGGTCTAGGGGTTTGGGGATTTAGGGTTTGGGGATTTAGGGGTTTAGGGTTTGGGGGTTTAGGGTTTAGGGGTTTACGGTTTAGGTTTTGGGGGTTTAGGGGTTGTGGTGTCATTAACTTACTATATAGTAGAGTAAAGTGGAGTAAGTAATCGTTAACCTTGTTGCGACATTTTCATCCCTGTGGTTGTGATCCCAAACGTTAACCTCTAGCTTCGGTAGCAAACTAATTAAGTACCATGTGTTGAGAGCTTAGGGTCTTGTCACATTTTGATCTTGTCCGGCTTGACGTTGTTTGAAATGTAGGCCAATAACATCATTACAGTGGTCTGCCAAGGTTTCATGAGGGTGTTGTCAAAGTTTCACAGGTCTGTCTGCCTGTCTGTCTGTATGTACGTGTGTATGCATGAACATATGTATGTAGGTCTGTATGCATGTATGTATATGCGTAGATGGGTAGTTCTCTAAGTTAGGGCGCGTTTTAGGGTCCTTTTAACAAGGGTGGCACACTATTTTCCGGATCCAGAAAGGCACCCTAATGTATAGAACTACCCATATATATATATATATATATATATGTCTATATATATACACATGTACGTATGTGTGTATATATATATATATATACATATATACATGTATATAACACACGGTTCAATAGGGAGACTTGTTCAATTAAGTTGTTCCGGTTGTTGGGTACTTTAACTCGTGGGCTTGGCAGCTGGGTCCTCGCGAATATTTAGCTAGCGCTTTATGTACTTTATATCTCGGAATGGTACCCTAAATCATGCTCTTTATAATTGCAACCTCCTAAACGAGTTCGGGAGTTTAGGATCTGAGGATTTGGTGTTAGGAGTTAAGTTTCTACCCTAAAACCCTTCCACCTAAAACGGTTTAGGGTTTAGGGTTTAACCCAAACCCTTAACCCAGCCTGGGTCGATTGGGTGTCCATGGTAACGTTTGGAAGTAGTTTCAAATCCCCGTGCACTGTACAGAAAAATTGAGAAGGTACCTACCAATCAGATACGTGTTCTGGCGTGGGTTGTAGCATGTGATTATGTAGGGACCAGAAGGGAATATAGTGAGCCTAAACAGAAAACCGCAAACCCCTAAACCACAAAGGAATACCGACCGTTACTTTCGGCCTTCTAAAGTACAGATACAGACCTAAACCCTAAACCCTAAACCCTAAACCTTTTCATGGGTTCTGGAGTACCATACTTTAATGCATTTTTGGGTAGCTGTTCCTGAACGGAACCATTATGAATACAAGTAAGACGGGTCTGGGGTTTAGGGTCTAGGGTTTATATGAGTCGTGGTAGTGGCCGTATCCCCTGTTGATAAGCGTCCATGAATACATGACTTGGCAACAAGGAAGAATGACGATGACCCGACAATTATGCTCGGGTCAGTGCCACCAAGTAAAGAGCTGAGGCTTTGAATTCAGGTTGCAGTTCAGTCGAGAGGCAGATGCAACAGCTTTTGATGGGGTCGGGCATTTGGCACATATTACAGCAGCTGTTGATGGAATCGCGCTGCTGTTGTGTCTAACGCTGGCGATCGCATGTGCATGTAGATCTTAATCGATTTGCACCATCGGCACAGCTGGATGGATTCAGCATGAGAGTGGTTCTTCAGGCAGCCTTGCAGGCAAGCAAGCCATGCACAGATACGGTGTTTTCCGCGGCGATTGCATGGGTGGTGCGAGTGAGCATCGAATTGCTGGCAAAAGGGACACTGGCGGAGCAAGTGCCCAGCGACAGGCTTGCGATACACGATGTACGAGCCGATGTTGGTTGTACTGGAAAAGGAGAAGCACATCCGATGCTTGTACCCACTCAGGTGTATCTCCGGGTTCGAACACACGTGGTTGAAGCAGATGCTCTGGATCGAGCTGACGAAGACATGTATATTACATGCAACTACGTAAGCAAGCAAGCATACATACATACCTACGCCCAACTCATATATGCACGCGCAGCTAATTATTCAAATACTTGCTTACTATCAGGCCACCTGACAAAACAACACAATATAATTAATCTAAAGTTATCAAGTATCATGTGTTGACTATGACATTATGAAAATATGATACGGTATACTACACCATGCAATCACATTGTACAGTAATATCTGTTAGTAGAATGTCACAAAATATCATGTAAGATCACAAAATATCATACAATATCACTCAATACCATATAGCTCTAACTACATAACACAATATGGCATATCATATCATGGTATCTTGTAAATGCACAATACGTTTGCACGTAGATAGATAGCATAGATATATAGACACATGTATGTATGTATGTACGCATGCATGTATGTATGTATGTATGCATGTATGTATGTATGTATGTATGTATGTATGTATGTATATATAGACATATATATATATAGGTAGATAGCAAGATAAATAGGCAGATCGGTGGAAATATAGTTAGATAGATAAATAGATAGATCCATAGAGAGACGCAGAGAGAGAGAGAGAGAGAGAGAGAGAGAGAGAGAGAGAGAGAGTTCTGCACATATATATATATATATATATGTATGTATAGATGTACACGCACATACGGATAGATAAGTGCACATAGGTAGACAAGCAATCATGTACGCAGCTACACATTTGTAATTATTTGTTTATGCACATGTGTACAGCACACAGTATATATACACACATATACAGACATAAATACATTCATGCAGATGTACACGCATATATACATACAGATGAGTTTATATATATATATATAGATGTGTATATGCATATGTGTGTATATAGACTTATTTATTTACATGTTGATTCCATATGTCAATCACTCTTTCATTCATTTATCTTTCATTGATCCATTCATTCGTTCGTTCGTTCATTCATTTATTGTTTTCATTCGTTCGTTCATTTATCCATTCATGCATTCATGCATGAATGCATTCATGCATGCATTCATGCATGAATGCATTCATGCATTCATCCATTCATCCTTTCATTCATTCTTTCATGTAGGTATACAAACTTTAGAGACCTGTACATACATACATACGTGCATACATACGTACACACATATGTGCATGCAGACAGACATACGTAGAGATATACAAACAGACAGGCTTACATACTCACCTAATGCATACAAACGCGCATGCATACCTACATACCTACATACCTACATACCTACATACCTGCATACCTGATACCTACATACACGCACACATATGTCTGTGTGTATATATATATATATATATGTATATGTCTGTTTGTGTATACTTATGTACAGTACACGCCGAGATGGATCCTTAAACCAACTCAAGCTTGTGGTTTGGCAGCGGCCTCACTCGAAACGATAAAAGCAATGCCACACCAAAGGTGTAATTAGGGTTCAAGGAGCCCTAAACCCTATGCCCTAAAACCCAAAACTCCGCCTAAGCCCTAAACCCTAAACCTATAGATCCCTTTATAAGGAACCCTACAGATCCCTTTAAGGAGCCCTCTAAGGAACCCCAAAACCGAGTAGGGCTCCCTTCCTCCGGAAGGCGTTTTGGCGGAAGCATCCTTGCTCCTCCTCACAACGTTCATGAGCATTGCGACCCGGCTCTCAAACCCAGACCCCGGGGAGGATCCAAAAAGTAGATCCCTTAATGGGGATTCCTATAAAGTACCCTTAGTAGTACAGGCCCCCAAATTGGGGGATCTACTTTCTAGATGCTCCCGGGGGTCTGGGAAATGGATAATACCCTTAAGAGGGTTGCTATAAGGGTACTATAAGGGTCCCTTTAAAGGGCTCTATCAGGGTTTAGAGTTTCCGAAAACTAGGGCTACCTTATTTGGGGGTCCTTATAATAAGGATCCTACTATTTAGGGTACTACATTAGGGTCCCCTATTTTCGGA